GTTGGTTCCATCAGGGCCAATGGATTTGGAGGATTTTGCTTTGTTGATGACACCCTGCACCTCCTCATCGGTGAAAGTAAGTGGTGCGCAGTCGTCAATTAACACATCTTTTGACTTTGTCTAAGGAAGGGTGCAGTGTAAATAGCTCGCCCACTTCTTCGGGTCCGAAGAGGCATGACCATTCAACTCGGTCGTCGTGTCTCTTCGGGTTCGACAAAGCTTTGACAGTAGCCCAAAGCTTAGTCCGGTGCCTTATTCGGGGATCCCCGGGATCGGTATGGCGTAAGGTGTCGCGCTTATTAAATAGAGCGGATGTTTCGGCTGGGAAGTTGGGGCTGATTTCCGCTATTCGTCCAGCTGGAATGAAGCGAGCGGTAGCTGCTGCGATCACCTTGCGGAATTAACGTTCGCCAACGCATACGTCCGTGTTGAAGGTGCTCTCAGTAAATTCTGTGAAGCCGACCCAGTTAGCTTTGTTAAAGTTAACGAAGGTACGGTTGTCCACAGAAACAAAATCTTCAGGTTTCTCGATCGAGATAATTGTGGGCAGATGGTCTGATGCGAGAGTTAGCATAGATCGCCAGGTTATGCTATTTATCAGACCACCACTACCAATGGTAATATCGGGCGAGCTACTACAAGTGCCCATAACTCTGGTGGGGGCTTCGTCATTCATTGTGCAGAATGTTGTCAATCTGTTCCGCCAGCTCCATCCCCCTACGGTCATTTGACAGGCAGGAATGTCAAATCGTGGTGCGGGTTAAAGTCGCCTAGTACCAAACAGTTTTCACCACGAAGTAGCGCACCTAGATTTGGGTGATATCCTGTTGGGCAACATGTAACTGGGGGAATATATACTATATATTAAATATTTCGAGCTCGACATCGCCTGACCGGATAGCTATACTCTCACGCCACGTAAAAAAACAACCCCAATGACAACGCAACAACAGCCTCGGATGAGAGACCCCACTTTTRATGACGACYATGGCAAACGAAATAAGGACTACGAATTGAGGGCATGCACCTGGAATGTCCGGTCCCTTAATTGGGAAGGTGCCGCTGCCCAGCTGGTTGATGTCCTCGTAAAAATAAAGGCTGACATCACCGCCGTCCAAAAATGCGATGGACGGGACAAGGACAGAGACGAGGAGGTCCTTGTGGCATTTACTACAGTGGCCATATAAAGGAGCACAAGTTTGGTGTGGGATTCGTGGTGGGAGAGAGACTCTGTCACCGAGTACTATCATTCACCCCGGTGAATGGACGTCTAGCCACAATCCGCATCAAAGCGAGGTTCTTCAACATATCGCTGATTTCCGCCCACGTCCCGACCGAAGAGAAGGACGATGTGACCAAAGAAGCCTTTTATGAGTGCTTGAAAGCACTTATGAGAGCTGCCCCCGCCACGATGTCAAAATCGTGCTTAGCGACTTTAACGCCAGGGTGGGCAAAGAAGGTATCTTTGGCACTACGGTCGGTAAATTCAGCCTCCACGACGAAACATCCAAAAACGGGTTGAGGCTGATCGACTTCGCCGGGGCCCGAAATATGGTTATATGTAGTGCTAGTTCCCAGCATAAGAACATACATCAAGCTACCTGGCTGTCTCCGGTTCGAAAATCCACCAACCAGGTCGATCATGTTGTGATAGACGGAAGACACGTCCTGCTCTCTGAGAGCACTCGTCAACATCTCGGTATACGGGAACTGTGTGACGCATTTGAAACTCCTTACGTGTAGCTGCAACCGAAACCATCGGTTTTTGGAAAGTGCAAAAGAACAGCTGGTACCACGAGGAGCGCCGTGTCGCAGCGGAGAGAAAACAGGCTGCCTACCTCGCAACGTTACGATCGACCACAACACGTGCGGGATGGGATAGATACCGAGAGTTGCAGATAGAAAAGGCCGAAATGCGGCGGCTTACAGAAGGTTTCAAGACCGAAGCATACTATTGTAGAACCCCCAAAGGTGATCTAGTCACCGATGCCCAGAGCATACTTAAATTATGGAGGGAACACTTCTCCAGCCTGCTGAATGGCAGTGAAGGCACAACGCCAGGAGAAGGCGAACCCGATTCTCCAATCGATGACGATGGAGCAGACGTTCCCATGCCCGACCAGGAAGAAGTTCGAATAGCAATTACCCGCCTGATGAACAACAAAGTGGCGGGGCCCGATGGATTGCGGCCGAGCTATTCAAACACAGCGATGAAGAACTTATAGGGAGCATGCATCACCTTCTTTGTAAAATATGGTCGGGCGAAAGCATGCCCAACGATTGGAATTTAAGTGTGCTATGCCCAATCCTCAAAAAAGGAGACCCCACAATCTGCGCCAACTGCCGTGGGATAAGCCTCCTCAACATCGCATATAAGGTTCTGACGAGCGTATTGTGTGAAAGATTAAAGCCCACCGTCAACAAACTGATTACACCTTATCAGTGAGGCTTCAGACCTGGAAAATCAACAACCGACCAGATATTGACCATGCGCCAAATTTTGGAAAAGACCCGTGAAAGGAGAATCGACACTCACCACCTCTTCGTCGATTTCAAAGCTGCTTTCGACAGCACGAAAAGGAGCTGCCTTTAYGCCGCGATGTCTGAATTTGGTATCACTGCAAAACTTATACGGCTGTGTAAGCTGACGTTGACCAGCACCAAAAGCTCCGTCAGAATCGGGAAGGACCTCTCCGAGCCGTTCGATACCAACGAGGTTTCAGACAAGGCGTTTCCTTATCGTGCGACCTTTTCAACCTGCTTCTGGAGAAAATAGTTCGAGCTGCAGAACTAAAAAGGGAAGGTACCATCTTATATAAGAGTGTACAGCTGCTGGCGTATGCCGATGATATTGACATCACCCGCGCCGTTAGATCTGCATTCTCCAGACTGGACAAGGAAGCAACAGAAATGGGTCTGGCAGTGAACGAGTTCACGACGAAATATCTCCTGTCATCAAACAAACAGTCGTCGCACTAGCGACTTGGCACTTACGTCACTGTTGACAGTCATAGCTTTGAGGTTGTAGATAATTTCGTCTATCTTGGAACCAGCGTAAACAACCCCAAAATGTCAGCCTAGAAATCCAATGCAGGATAACTTTTGCCAACAGGTGCTACTTCGGATTGAGTAGGCAATTGAAAAGCAAAGTCCTCTCTCGACAAACAAAAACCAAACTCTATAAGCCACTCATTATTCCCGTCCTGCTATTTGGTGCAGAGGCTTGGACGATGTCAACAACGGATGAGTCGACGTTGCGGGTTTTCGAGAGAAAAGTTCTGCGAAAGATTTATGGTCCTTTGCGCGTTGGCCACGGCGAATATCGCATTCGATGGAATAATGAGCTGTACGAGATATACGACGACATTGACATAGTTCAGCGAATTAAAAGACAGCGGCTACGCTGGCTAGGTCATGTTGTCCGAATGGACGAAAACACTCCAGCTCTGAAARTATTCGAYGCAGTAYCCGCCGGGGGAAGCAGAGGAAGAGGAACACCTCCACTCCGTTCGAAGGACCAAGTGGAGAAGGACCTGGCTTCACTTGGAATACCTAATTGGCGCCACTTAGCGAAAAGAAGAAACGACTGGCGCGCGGTTTTTAACTCTTCTATAATCGCGTAAGCGGTGACTACGCCAATCAAGAAAAAGAAGAATAAATAAACCAATTATATCTCTTTAATATAGGTGTACAAATATTTTTTTGCACTACATAATACAAAAACTAAAAACAAATTAAACAAGTTTATTCCTCATATTTAAAATTTGTTTTATTTTATAAAGCAATTGAATTTTTATTTTATCAAAATAATAGGAATACATTGGCCAACGCTTACTACTAGTTATATTAATAGTATACGAAATCTTAAGCAATCATAATGAATAATGCATGTGTGTATATACTATATGTGTGGTTTAGATCATCTTATTAAGATATTATTTAATATTTATTTTCACACTTAAAAAATTTTTATATAAACTCAAATTGTTTTCATATTTGCAGAAAGTAGTTTGTTAGAAAAATTAAAATGTATATATGTATTTATTCTTTATTAAACATACACAAATGCATATGTATATGCAGTTATATATTATACGAAGTTATTAAGCAGTTTTTTATTTTATTTTTATTTCGATATTAAACATTTTGTAAGTTAAGAAATACTCATATCAGTAAAAACTATAATTTATTTATTTACATACATTCAGTACTACGTTTTCTTTAATTTTGAAATATGAAAAAAGTAAATGTCCATCAATTGCAGAAATGGTAGTTGTGTTACATAGATTTTTTTTTTTAAATTAAATTTATTATTTAGTACACGTATCTGCTGTTTTCATTTATTAAATTTTTAATATTTATGCATAGATTTGTATTATTTTCTTTTGGTTCTGCTTAAGAAATAATTATCGTGACGTTATGCACATTTGTAGTATCAACTTTATTTTATCTGTAAATATATATATCCGTAATGTATATCGAGAAATAATAGAATAATTCAAATAAATCACCATTCCAACTTATAAAATAAAACTAAAATTGAAACGAGTATGTATTTATATTGTACGCATAAATATGCACATATGTATACATTCATACTTTTAAATACAATTTAATTAAGTTTTTAATGCTTTTTTGCAAGCCATTGTGTTAGTGTTAGTAATAATTACGTAAAATCTGCGTTTATTAAATTGTTCACAAAAGTTGCATTCAATGAGATCTTTTTACAGTTACCTTTTTTTGCTTATAAATTTATTGATATTTTTTAATTAATTATTTTTTACATATTAATAATTAATTACTAGTTTAGTTATTTTTAATTTTAATAATTATATTTTTATTTTATTATATATATAATAAAATTTTGTAGTACTTTAGTCCAGTTAAATATTATTTTTAAATTTAATTTCAATTAGTGTACGGTTATGGTTATTTTTTGTTTTTCTTTTTGCTTTTGTTTATAACATGTTTAGAGAGTTTTATTTATTACTTAAATATGGTATATGCTGAATACTATTTTTTTCTCTAAGTGGTTTCATTTTTATGATATAAGAAATATAGAATATGCATACAATTAACAATCATCCATATTTTTAAACAAATCCGAAAATGCAAGACGTTATTAAAATGTAAAAAACAATGTTTTAAATATTTCTCCTTAGTTGAATGAAGTAGCTACATAATCAATAAATATTTACGTTTGGTACCGTGCAGTTGCTACTACTTTAAAACAGTGCATAAGAATTGCTAAAAAGACACATATGCATCTAACAGACGATTTCACTAAGCACTCTCACTAATTTGTTATAACTTATATAATGGTTAATTAACCGCACACTTCTATTGGTACTGCTGGAAAAATAAATTTGTTTGCATTAACAACAATTTTGAATTGAATTTTTGAAAAATCTCGCTGTTATAATGCTGATATTGTATCTGCTTGTGTTTGGTTAATAAATTAAATCCACGGTATAATGTAATAAAAAAATAAAGTAAACGATACGCTCCTCATAAAATGTCAAAGTTTTTTTTTACTGTTCTTGTTTATGTATTCTTATACTCTTGCAACATGTTGGTACAGAGTTAAATGTTGTTCACCTATATGAATTACCTGGTTATAATCGAGATAGATATATGGATATATATACAATATATAAATGATCAGGATGACGAGACGAGTTGAATTCCGAGTTACTGTCTGTCCGTTGGTCTATTTGTCTGTCTGTGCAAATTGTAACTTGAGATATTTCAATGAAATTTAGTGCACATGGTCCTTGGAAAAGACGTGAGGACGTGAGATGGCTGTAACCGTACCACTGCCACGCCCACAAAACGCCATTAATCGGAGACTTGTAAAATGCAATAACTAAGCACTAAATTAAAATATGAAATTGACGGGGTCAAAATTGGATCAGTTCGTCAAATGGATTAGGTGAAACACATATTTCATATTCCTCTAGGTACTGAATATTTGGACCCCAGTACTTATAGTTGACTTTTTACCGAAAATATTGGCCAATGTTCAGATTGATAATTAAAATTCAGTAGTATGTTTGTGTACTTCAAATGGATTGAATCGCATTAATACCTGCCAGAGCCCCTACATACCTAATAAAAAGATTTTCGAACTTCCGGGTGACTTTTTAGTTACGGTTTTACTCACAATGTATATATCAAATTGATCTGGTTGATGCCAGAGGAACTACCATAAGGTTCTGCAGCTTAAGGTAGTTCCCTGGCTTTGATTCCTGCAAGTTGCAAAAGTATGAAATTTTCCGTTACATCTGAACTTAGCCCTGCGTCATGGTACTTGCTAACTTTACATCAGTAGCATCTAAATACAACTAATTCAAATCATCTGCCAATATTGCATTAATTAAAGAAAATTATATTTTTATAATTACTTAAAAGAGCTTCAGTTTTCGAAATAATTCTAAAAATATACATATGCACATATATGAATTTATTGATGTGTATTAATTTCCGCTCTTTTTATTTATACAGTAAATGTTATTTTGTAACAGATTCTAATATAGAAATCAATAGATGTTCAATTTAATACCAATGCAAGCAAGCTGCAGAACAAATACGCAACGCATACGCATGACATTTGCAAACGCAGTTAGAGAAAATTGGGAATAATTTACACAAAGAAGAAAAATTAAAAAAAGGTAAGAAATATTAATTGATATTAATTGATTTTAATATTTCTGAAAAATATTTTAAATGAAATGTTTTGCTGTCAATTTTGGTATTGCATTTGTACCTGACATTCAAACAAATTTCAGCCGGTTTTGTTTACTCTTTAATAACTATTAATTTTGATGAGAAGATGAAAAAATAGGAAACATATGGTTTATCCAACAAGCATTCCTATGCTCCTCTAATACTTAAGAAATTGAACGAATCATTTCCGTTGTAGATTAAAGCATTTACTTGGAACGATTAAAAATATGGGCTAAAGAAAATACGTCGTTCTTGTGATGCTATTTGTTTAAATTTCTTATATGCACTCAAAATAATGGTAAGTGCAGCTTAGAGTTTGTCATGATGTACTCTTTGTTTTAGAATTTCCACAAGCTTTTATCAGTAATTTTTTATTTTAATATATTTATTTTAATTGCTTGTAAATATACGTTATTTTTGAATATTTTTATGAATTTAAACTTTTGCTTATAATTTCCAAACTACCAGAGCAAAGAAACTATCTTTATAGTCTATGCTGAGAGCGCATTTTTTTTATTGTTATATGTTAGTTTAGAAGACTTTTTCAAAGGACCTAATACATTTTCACTTTTACGCTTGGGCATTTTTCGCTGTAGAGTATTGTAGAGTTGTAACTCCAGTGTTTCTATTATCTGTCTATAAATTTTATTTGTTCTTTTCTCCTATTAAATATAATTAATAGTTGTTGTAGACAACATTACAATCGTTTTTTTTTTTAATATTTTCATTAATTCCTTTACTTTCCTTTTTCACATGTAGTCACCTCTTTTACTGGCATGCTCTGACACACCTGCAACGCCCTCACCTTCTCACTCTTCATTTACGTATTCAAACCTTTGTCGCCTCCTGCGGCACCTTATATTTCACTTGCGCACCTCCTTGTTCTCCTGCAACTTCTTCCAAGTGTCACCCAGCGCTTTGGCAAAGTGATCATCCACGGAAGCAGTCACCTCTGTAATGCTGGTGGGCGATGAGGTCGAGGTTGGTGAAGCTGGCGGCGTGTTTGTTGCCGTCAGTCCCGGTTCCGTTTTGATGCGCATAATCGCCGGCATTATGGGTGGCGGCGTTGCAGAGCCAGCGGTTGCTGTTGCTGTGTGTGTAGTTGTTGGGGGCGTCGAAGAGGACACCATTGTTGGCGTTGCCGTTAGAAAATTTGGTGAGTGTTGCGGCGTTGCCACTGGTGAGCGCGAGCTACTTGCTTCCATTGAGTGAGCTTCCATTGATGTCTGGCCGCGCAGTGTGGCCGCGGGGAATGCTGGTGGTGGCGGTGATGTTTGTAAGGCGTTGGTTGGTGACAACGGCAATGAACACGTGGTTGGACCACCAACATCACCATTTGGTGTTGTTGGTTGCGGTGTATTGTTGCGTTGCGTTGTGGACAAAGCCAACGGTTGCTGTTGTGGTGGCGTCAAATCGACAGCCATCACATGCTCCACATGATGCGGCGATGGGGCATCAATTTGTGGAGGCGGAGGTGCAGCAGCAGCTGCAGCCGCGTAAATGGCGGCCGGGGAAAGTAACACCGCTGCTGGCTTTGGTGAGATGAGTGCTTGTGGTGCGACGACAGTTGCATGGTATGGTGGCAATGCGGCTGGTGTTGAGCCGTGTGCCACAACCAGTGCCTGCGGCTGCAGCTGTGGCAGTGACGATGACGATGAGGATAATGCCAACGGCGGCTGCGTTGGTGGTGGCGTGGGTGTGGGCGTATTGATGACCGCTGTTGTTGTCATGGCGACTGCGTTCGGCTGTAGCGATGGTGTTCCTGGACCGGGTGATTTTTTGCCAAAGAGTGCGGCATAATTGGGACCCAGTGAGCGCCGAAAATGCTCATCGATGACCGTGTCGCAAGTCGAAATGGATTCTATGGATAAACATAAAAGAAAGTACAATTAAGTTATGCGCTTCAGCATAAATATTTACCATTGCTGCGATTATCATTTTCGCGATTAGCCAACAGTTCGCGCTCACTTTCGCGTTCTCGTTTCGATGGCGCTTGTGTAATAACGCTGGGACGTGCGAGCGCGCTGGCATATGTGGAGCCTGGTAGAGGCGCGCGATACGGCGGTGGCGGTGAGGAGCGATGCTTCAATGTTGACGATGACACCGACATATCAATGGGACTCTCCATACCGCTTTGATGATGATAAGCCGCAGCAGCCGCTGAGGAGTTCGAAGGCGGTGGAGTTGGACGATTGGTGGATTCACAAAGCGGACGCATCGCCGCGGCCATCATAATGGACATTGGTGGCGGCACCCCGCTGTGCAGCGCGCCCGTTACATGATGATGCGCGCTCACCGGCGATGGTAGGCCGCCAGCGCAGACACCCGGCGGTGGTGTGCCCGCAGGTGACAGGCTGCTTGAGGTTGAGACGCTGCTGGCAGCAGTTGCAACGCCACTGCCTATAATGGGGTATTCACAAGCACGCGAGCGTCGCTCACGGCGCCAGCGCGCGGTCGGCAGTTCCTTTGAAGAAATGCGCGCCTCTGAAAATGTAGTTAAATTTAAAAGATTGTTTAACTTTTTTATAAGAAAATAATGGGCGTATTACGTAAGTGCTAAGTGTATAATAAAAACATATATAAATGTGTATTAATGACTTTCTACATACATATGTATAGTTTTGTCAGGCAAATATGTCTGTGGGCGCTGAATGCCATTTATTGTCCAAGCTAAATTTTCTAAATCGCATTTTTATAGTTGAAAGGCACATATGTACAAATGTAATTATATTATGGCACAGACAAAAATAAGCAAAAATTAACAATGTGTGCACATAAATCTGAAACTAGTCATTGAGAATTCATCACAGCGACTCGCAACGCGTCAACTGCGACGTCGAGAGCGGGCAAAATCAATGGCTTCGATTTTGGCTTTGGCTGTGGCGTTGGACGTTGACTATTGATTGTTGATGGCTGTTGACGTTACTGTTGTTGTTGTTTTGGTTGCCATTCAGACATGTTTGCGCATATTTGATAGTAGCAATATAAAAATATATATGGGCAAGTTGAAAATTGCGAATTAAACAAAGCAATGCGAAAAAATAAACAATATCAAATGACAATAATAAAAACAAACAACAAGCAGTCACTGTCAGGCCGAAGCGTGGGCGTTATGATTCATGATCCTCTATGTGAAAGGGCGTCGTCACATGAGTAGAGCAGACAAAATCTCGTAGCGTGTAAAAGCGTAACATTTAAATGGCATTTAGCGAAAACTGCCTTGATTTAATTAAGTGAAAAAAAATTGCGTTACGGCGCGTTGCCAGTTACAGTTATTTGTTGTTTTTTTAATTAATTCAAAGTCATGTTTAAAAAAAATCATTGTATATTCCAAATATTAGAAAAATAAGATAAAGAATTTGTAATTTTTATTGATATTGTTCTTGAAAATAAAATCGTCCTCTTTCTGATTAATACTGATAAAAAATACAAAAGTTCGTTGCTTAAGTCTTTTGTTTCATGTATGCAATTTATTAAGTTGTGTATGCAGATTTTTGATATATAGGAATTTATAAACCAAAGTTTGAGCAACAAATTTCTTTGGTAAAAAGCCGAATTTTCAAGCTGTTTCTTCAGTTGAAAAAAGTACAAAAATTTTAATAGGGGAAAGTGATTTCTTGTGAATGGGTATATGGTTTAATGGGTTACAAAATTTAGAATTTATTGAAAAAATATTTTTTTTATTTTTATATTGTTCTTAATACATTATATCTGTATATAAATAAACCGTTTTAAAAAAATTAAGTTTAAAGTTTTAGAAAATGTTTTCTTAATATTTTATTTTTGTGAATTAGAATCTGATTTAAAACTAACCTTCAACTTAAATTTTTTCAAAAAATTTTAAAACTGGATTTTGAAAGGTAATGGTAAAATGTTTTCATTAGCTTACTTTAGGTTAAGTTAATATCGTTAATTTGGTGAACGCACGAACTTTTTTATATATATATTTATTTTTGATTTTCTTCGAATTAATTCTTTATTATTTGGACGTTAAGTATTTTCAAAAATAAAAATTTAAATTTTTTTCGCTTTATTTTCATTTATGAGTAAATATTAAATTTTTGTTTGATTTTTTTGTTCATTTTATCTTTTTCATTTAGGTTTTTGGATTATATTTAATCAGATGTGTATAAGAGACAGGTTTAGAAGTATATAAATTTGTTTGTTTGTATCATTTTTTTAATTTTTATTATTATTACGTCATTTTTCACTTCTTTTACATTTAACTTTCTAACTAAATTAAATTTATTTAAATTATTTTCATGTATTCATTTGTTTTTTTTTTGTTATTTGTTTTATTCACTAAATATCTTTTACTTTAATTAATTTTGATTTGTACATTTTTTTTATTACATATGTATATTCGATGTAGACTGATTTTATTTTCTGATATATTTGATTTTTTCATACTAATTATATGAAGTTTAACCTTAAAATGTATTATTTAGAATTAAAAAGACTGAAAATAAACAAAAAATAAATAAACAAAATTTTGTCTATGATATTTCGTTTTCATATTTAAAAAATTTAAAAAGAAATGTTCTAAAATTAATTGTGTATGTATGTTTAAAAAAAAAAAATTAATATTTAAAATAAAAAATATTTCATGCAAATGTAATGAATGCAAATAAATCACAGCTATTGTTTCTACTCATTATATTGTATATGTATATTTTAAACTGAGTATATTACGCATATATATATACACATGTACATATAGACCCTAGAACTATACTTATATACATTTATACATATAAACATGTCAGTATATAGTAGTTTAGTTAGAAAGCAACAATGGACACATAAATAATAAACAATGATCAACACAATAAACAACAGGCCAAGAACAAGGAAAGCACATCAGAAGAGCGCACATAAAAAAGAAAAGGAACTAAACAAAGTCAAAAGACTAAAAATAAATACACACGTATAAGTATAAGTAAAAAGTCAAAAGAAATGGTATAATTGCAAACAAAAACAAAAAGCAAGTGGAAATCAAGTTGAAAGGAAACCAGTTTGCTACCACAATACGCGCGCCTCCTGCGCTGCGCCGCGCTACTACGCCACAGCGGTGGCAATCAAAATTACAACAAACATGTTGACTTTATTTTGCCTTCTCATTTTATTTTTTTTAAGTCTGTTTTGTTTTTGCTTTTTAATTTTTTGCACTTGGCGTTTCCACTTTTTCGCTTTCATACAGCATATGTACACGTTCGTGCCCCACCTTTCGAAACCACTATGTTGTATGTGTATTGTGCGTGTGTTTGATTTCGCTTTATTTTAATTTAATTTATTTAAAATTTGGTTTTTGCTTTTTCGCAGCCGCGATGCGTGTAAAAATTATGATTGAATATAAAAAGGCAAATATACATGCATGCCTTACACAAACATATATTACATATATTACATATATTACATATATTACATATACCTTTGTACCTATGCATAAGTGCCGACATGCTTGTATCTAAATGCTTATGTACATATGTCTAGTGATGCCGGCAGTCATGGCTTCTAGTAGACAGAAGTGCGAATACTTTGCTTAAACGCCAATCAAAAAGTCAGAGCAACAAAAACAACAAAAAATGCTTATGATCGAAATAGTACGGTTTGCACACGTAAGAAAGATAAAACAAAAAAATAACAATTATCACTTCGTGGTATTATTTTATTGCTCTCAATAGACTTATGAAGACGCGCATAAGCGAAAGAAGATAATGAGGCGCTAAAATTGCTGAAATATCAAATTCTCCGAATACTTAGCTATACAATTATTTAAAAAATATATAACAACAGATATTTAACTCATAAAAAATATAACTTTTTCTAGTAAAAGGAGAAAAAGTTTTAACATTCGGCAGCACCGAACCCTTAATATTCATCGCAGGCTTTTATAGCAAGGACTTGTTTGATGATCGATTTAGAAATTTATGAAAACTAATTGTATGCATGCATATAAAAAAAATCTTTAACCGTACTATTTTGACACTGCCTCAACGAGAAATTCGGAATTATAGATAACTAGGTATTTTGTTGGTATTCCAAGGAAGTTTCAGCTTCGGCTAATACTTGTATTTATATTTTAGCTTTCGAAAGATTGAAAGGCACTGATATTTAATCTAAGTTGGAAACGAATATGAGTTCCTATATCTTATCTGGTAAGTAGTGATCCGAAATAATCTTCATCGTCTGTCAATTTAGGAATCTATTCACGGAAACCGTAGTGATTTAGTATAACCATGCCAAATTCTGTACGCATTCCCTAACCTTGTTTTAGTTTAGATTAACGAAACTTATTGTTATGTGTGTTTCCTTATAAGTTGAGATTTGTAGAATCTTTGTACATCAGGCAGTGAAAGGTTTTATTGCTGATATTTATTTTTCATGGTAAGGGGTTTTGAAGGAAGGCAACGACTAGGAAACATTTAGGTAACACGTCGTCTTCTTCAACCTCTGTTGTATAAATTTTGTGTAAGGAAGAACACGACATAGCGTTTTCGATCAAAAGGGGCCAAGAACTTATAATCTAGAAGAAGTAAGCCGCCAATTTGATTCTAATGTAGCGCTCTCAGGAGGTTCTAATTTCAATTATTAAATGTTTTCCAGTAAGATTTAATTTGTATTCTCGAACAATTAATATATCTGGCCACTCCCTAATACAGTTCCAGTATATGGGTCTGGCAGTGAACGAGGGCAAGAAGAAATAACTCCTGTCATCAAACAAACAGTCGTCGCACACGCGACTTGGCCCTCACGTCACTGTTGACAGTCATAGCTTTGAAGTTGTAGATAATTTCGTCTATCTTGGAACCAGCGTAAACACCACCAACAATGTCAGCCTAGAAATCCAACGCAGGATAACTYTTGCCAACAGGTGCTACTTCGGACTGAGTAGGCAATTGARAAGCAAAGTCCWCTCTCGACAAACAAAAACCAAACTCTATAAGYCACTCATTATTCCCGTCCTGCTATTTGGTGCAGAGGCTTGGACGATGWCAACAACKGATGAGTCGACGTTGCGAGTTTTCGAGAGAAAAGTTCTGCGAAAGATTTATGGTCCTATGCGCGTTGGCCACGGCGAATATCGCAGAAGCAGAGGAAGACCTCCACTCCGTTGGAAGGACCTGTCTATATATAGTAATACAAACTTTATTATATATTTTTAATGATTTTATGGTATCATCCTGAAATTCAAATGTGGATAAATTTTAATAAACCTAACCTAACCTTTTTGCGCATAGAAAATAAACGAATCTCTATGCGTAAATTTGTTTACAATGGAATTAGCATTATTTTTCTCATTTAACACTGAAAATGCTCAATTCTGCTATTTTCGTGGTGAAACACGCTTATAATTTGTCTGTGGTGAGACTGGCTCATCTCTGCCGAGTACCCCTTCGAAAAGTTACGATATTTGAAACGTGAACCTTCTCTATGATAAACGTTCTCTGGCACGTACGTACGTGACAATTTTTGAAATTCCA